TGTATGTGTGTATGTGTGTATGTGTGTGTATGTTTGTGTGTGTGTATGTGTGTGTGTGTATATGTGTGTGTATATGTATGTGTGTGTGTGTGTGTGTGAAGGGGGTATCAACACAATGAGAGGAGTGGAGGAAGGGGAAACTGCGGTTAGGATGTATTGTATAGAGAAGAATATAAAAGGAAGAAATATAACAATATAATAAATACAATAAATTTGGAATAAGGAATTACAGGTTAATTTTGAAAGGGACAATGTAGTAATACTTGTGATATCAAAATAAACCACTGACAAAAGTTAGAAAAAAAAAAAGACTAGACATGTCAATACTCTTTAAAAGGAAAAGCTTGGGTCTGAAGAGATGGCCGAGCGGTTGCAGTTAAGAGCACTGGCTGTTTGTCTAGAGAAACCAAGCTCAGTGCTCAGCACCCAGAGGGCTCATGACAACCACCTGTCACTCCAGTCTTAAGGGATCTGACCCTCTCTTCTGACCTCTGACAAAACACCCATACACATAAAAATTAAGAAGAAGTATTTTTTAAAAAAATAAAAGTAAAAAGGAACGAAAGGAAAAGGCTCTTACTTGGCAATTAACGTCACAGCACATTCCGGTGGCGCAGGCGGCACCCTCTGACAGCCCACAGGTGTTGGGATTACAGCATGCTGTTAGAGTTTCACAGCCCTGGAAGGCAAACTGCAAGCCTGAAGCACCTATCTGAATCCATTCACACTGGACAGACATTGTAATGGTGACTCATTTCATAGCCTAGAGACAGATGCTCGCCTTTCATGTAGGCAATCAGGAAAAGAAACTGAGTCACTTCTTTCTTGCCCTGCAGACATTGATTTTTGACTCCCTACTAAGTGTTACATCCTAGTCATTTCTTCTAGAATGGAGCTTGCTGTGTTGGAAATAGAATTCTCTGATACCACAGGATCCTTCACAGTGGAGGCAGTGAGGTGGTCCCCGGGTCTTGTAGATAAAGGCCAAATATATATAAGATGTGGGATAAAGTGAAGCAACAGTTACTTCTTATGCGCCATGTTTGAACCCAAATAATATATGGCTCAATAATAAATGTTTTTTAAAGTGTGTGTGTGTGTGTGTGTGTGTGTGTGTGTGTGTGTGTGCAAGAGAGAGAGACAGCAAGCCAACAGAGGCCAGAAGATGGCATCAGCTCTCTGGAGCTCGAATTACGGAGGGTTGTGAGATCCCATGTGGGTTCTATAAACTGAACTTAGGTCCTTTGAAAAACAGCAAACACTCTTAATTACCATCTCTCCAGTCCCATCTTTTTTTCTCTTTTGATAATTTGTCTTATTAATCTATGTTGGCCTGAAAGGCATTCAGTCAAAGCGGACCTTGTATGCTAGCCATTTCTGCTTCCATCCTTGCCTCCTGGAGTACTGGGACTGCAGGCATAACACTGCTACATCTAGCTGTTTACTTCATTTTTAATTTGCAGATGAAGGGATGGACGATGGACAATCTGGACATGACTGAGTCTCTTGCTTTTGTATCTTTAGCAAATGATTACATGGCTTCTATGTTATACTTTGTCTGCTTTAATAGCGTTGACTATCAGGGTTAGTAAAAAGAAAGGAGAGGTCTTTTTAGATCACACACACACACACACACACACACACACACACACACACACATTCGCACACATTTAATCCCCAGGGATTAGAAATGTAGAAATGGTAAGTTGAAAAAACTTGTCAGTAAGCAGATAGGGATCAGCTGTGGAGGCCAGCTGTCTTAGGGTGACTTCTGCAAGATACACAGTAGGGCATGGGAAGGTTTCTGTGTTTTTGCACAACCATTCTGCCGAGTGAATGTCATTGCTTTTGCCCACTACATAGACATCTACAGGGTAGGGATAGCACAGTGGTTAGAACTCAGTTAGGAACATGATGAAGCTAAGAACCAAGCTTTTGGATGATGGACAATATTTTCTTAAAAGCACACTATTCATTTCTGATAGTTTAGTTCAACTTGCCATAATCTAGAAATATCTGAGGAAGAAAGTCTCAGTGAGGGATTGCTTGTCTAGGTCAAGAGGGCCTGTGGGCATGCCACAGAGGAATATCTTGATTGTATCCACTGTGCTGTTTCCTAGGATTGGGTCTTGTACTACATAAGAGTGGAAAAGGTTACTGAGCACGAGTAAGCAAGCATGCAGGCACCTGTTCTCTCCATGCTCTCAGCCATGGATGTGACCAACAGCTTCAAGCTCCTACTGCCTCAGCTTCCCTGCAGTGATGGACCACAACTTGGAACTGTGAGCTAACATAAACCCTTTGATAGTGTCCATTACCACAGCAACAGGAAAGGAGAAATACACCTTTTCTACTGTGAGGGGCATACCTCAGTGTCCTCAGCCAGTTCATAGAGAAAGAACCCTGATGAACACTTGCCTCCTGGTTCCCCGGGGACATAGTACTCTCAGCAATATGAGAACAGCCTGTTTCCCCTTTCATTTTATCTCTGCATTTTTCCCTCATTTACCTTCATTCTATCTTCCCTCTTCCCTCCAACCCCAGTTTTACATAAGATTTATTTAGTTTGGAAAAAAATTTTCCTCTAGTTATAGGTATATTTCAAATAATTTTGACTTAAATATTGAATTTAAATTGGTGATTAAATATTGGTAAAAGCCAATAAAGTTCCAACACCAAAACTCAAATGTGTCTTCCATAGTTTCTTACTCCACAGTGAAAGCTTCATACCTACTATCTGGCTTGGCCCAGGAGGGGTGACCTTGTTGAAGGAGGTGTGTCACTGTGGGTGTGGGCTTTAAGACCCTCATCCTAGCTGTCTGGAAGTCAGTATTCTGCTAGCAGCCTTCAGATGAAGATGTAGAGCTCTCAGCTCCCCCTGTACCATGCCTGCCTGGATGCTGCCATGTTCCTACCTTGATGATAATGGACTGAACCTCTGAACCTGGAAGTCAGCTCCAATTAAATGTTGTCCTTTATAAGACTTGCCTTGATCATGGTGTCTGCTTACAGCAGTAAAACCCTAACTAAGACACCTGCCGTTCTGAATGACAAAAGAGCCTGAGCAAAAGGCTGGGCAAGAGTGTGCCCAAGAGGAAGAGACAAAAGCTGGATCACTCAGAGATGGGACTTAATGACTTTCAAAGTGGATCATTTAAAAAAATCATAATGGCCAGGTGGTAGTGACATACACCTTTGACCCCAGTACTTGGGAGGCAGAGGCAGGCAGATCTCTGTGACCAGAATGGTCTACATACAGGGTGAGTTTTAGGACACCTAGAGCTACACAGAGAAACTCTGTCTCAGAAAACAAAAACAAAACAAAATTACAACCAAAGGGGCATAGAAGGGAGGAATAGAGACAAAGTGGTCCAGGAGTGCTTCCAGCAGACCTGTAGGATGAACATGCTCTGGAGGCCTAATACTCAGTAGTGACTGTAGTTAATAGACTACATTGTTTGCTAAGAGGTTGTGTCCTAATCCTTACGGAAGAAAGAGAAATGAGAACTTGCTTGGCATGAATTATATTCTTACCACTCTACAAGAGTTTGGGGATAGAAGGTTTATTTTAGCTTACCCCTTTTCTCTTAAGTTGCTTTTTTTCAGGACATTTTATCACAGCAACAGAATTGAAATTAGGGCAATATGCGTGTAAGAGATACTTAAAACATATATTTCAGTTCTTGCTTTCCAGTAAGGAGGTAAAGAGATTGTTTATCTAATGCAGTTGCAAGAAATTCATATGAAGTGCTTGCAAATTGTTAAGCTGTTATATCCTAATTCTTAATGGGAGAAGAGAAAAGGGGAAGAATTGGAGAAGAGAAGGAGAGGAAGAGGGGGGGAGATGGGAGAGTAGAGGGTAGGAAGGAGATAGAGGAGGGAGAGAGCAAAAGGGTGAGGAGAAGGACAGGGTGGGGAGGGGAGGAGGAAGAAGAGAAAGAGGAGAGTTGGGAGAGGAGAGGCAGAAGAAGATAAGGCAGACATGATGGTGCAAGCCTGCAATCCCAGTACTCAGGAAGCTGGAACAGGACAGTTGTTTTGAGTTTAAGGCCAGCATGGACTAAGTGGTCCTATACTGATGCTTTGAGTTGGCAGGCTCAGTTGTGGTGGCTTTTATACGGCAGGCATGCATCCGTCACCAACTCATTGACTTGCACATGCTCAGCTGTATACCAGCAAGGGTGAGTCCATCAGCAAATGTATTTGGATAATCTACCAATCAGTAGACCACATTCCAAGATGTTAGTTTACTCTTGAGTGTCTCTGTGTTCCTCACAAAGGACTTTGTAGAAGGATGGCTGTGAGAGATGATGCAGACAGACACAGGGATGGTAGACACATTAATTGATAGGGCGATTCTGGCAACATCCTCCCAAGCCACACTGACCTCTTTTCCACAGTCGCAAACTTCTCCTTCTTCCAGCTCTCCGTTTCCACATTGTGACACCTTGTAAGACGGCTGTAGCTGCGGCTTGTTCTGAAGACAATGGGAGCTTTGACTTGTGATAAACTTGGAGAACTCCTCCATGCTGCAGTTACTGAAGGTCCTGACACCGCTGGAATGACTGAAAGGGGCCAAATGTCTGTGCTAAGAGTTTCCACAGACCATCTAGCCCAGTTAGTAAGCAAGTGCTCCCAAGGAGCATCCAGACCTTTCTCTGCCCAGGAAGCCAACTGTGCAGGACGCCCCACGGAATCCTTTAGTAGGAATAAATAGCATGGAATTTTATTGGCTTTTACATCACAGACTTTTTTGGTGACATTGGTCTTATGATTTAGCATTTACCTTACACATTACGCCATTTCTTCTGAAGTTGTCTGCCTTTCCCTACTAGGACTTCTGAACTTTGAGGCGCCCTTTCCTCAAGGAGAGCGCAGTCTTCCTGTCTTTATCTACACTTACTCCCAACTTGATTTTGTAGTTTTTAAATAACTCCTGTATCTTTTATCTTCTACCTTAGCACCTGAACTCTATAAATCCAGTAGGCAACTCTTTATGTATGCACACGTATGTGTATGTACATATTCATACATGTATGAGTTTGTGTGTGCATACATGTGCATGCACACAGTAGCTTTCAGTCATATTAACCATGCACAATGGGATTGATTATACATTTCCAGCCACTGTCACATGATTCCTATTCGTGTATATGTGTGGCCATGTATGGGACACAACACACACATGTAGGTTAGATGACCACTGGCAGGAGTAGGATCTTTCTGACCATGTAAGATTCAGGGATTGAACTCTGGTTATAGGTGTAGCTACTAATGCCATGACCACTGAGCCATCTCGCCAGTATGGTTTTTATCTAAATACCAGAGAGCAAAGGAAGAAAAAGCTATAGATGGTCGGCGGGATGGCTCAGCGGATAAGGTCGCTTATTGCACAAGCCTGGCAGCCTGAGTTCGGTCCTAGAAACTCACACACAGGTGGAAGGAGACAACCTGCAATTGTCCTCTGATCACCACATGCATGCATGCTGTGGCATATACATTATGTATTCTCTCTCTCTCTCTCTCTCTCTCTCTCTCTCTCTCTCTCTCTCTCT